ACCTGCCTTCACCCTGAGTCAGCTGGGATAGGCTCCGCCCCCCTAGTGAGGATGAAGGTGTAGAGATGATGGATGGATGGTTTGACTCGTGACAGATTCGAGGCTGTTGTGTTTCATGTCGTGTCTGAGCGACGGCGTTTTCCCGGCTGTCCGTGAACGCGTCGTCCTGCTGCGTTCTCTCAGTGTTTACCTGAAACATGAAACAAACCAGCAGCTGGATGTGACAGCAAGGCATTCTGGGAAATGCAGGAACTCTAGGAAAAGGCAAAACGAAGGCAAAGAGAGAGATCGTCATGTGATCCGGCTCTGCTGTCCATGACTGGCTGTATGTGTGTGTGTGTGTGTGTGTGTGCTGCTGCTGTCGTTGTGAGGACCCGGTGGTTCTACCGGCATGTGAGGACCTTCTGAGACCCTGTTTCATGGTTCTGGTTTAGCTCAGGTGTAGGTCAGGGTTAGAGTCAGGTAGTTAGTAGTGATTGATGAGAAGTTGTGGATGTCAGCGAGGGTCCTCACAAGTATGGAAACATACAAACATGTGCATGCTGAGAGTCCTCAGGTACCAACACATAAATCACGGCCCAGATCACAGACACACATGCAGATCTAGGTCACAGCTGTTCACTACAATATTTCTGTTTCCACCTCCTCTGGAAGCGCTCACATCCCTCCATCGTCCACTTCCTGCTCCTCCTCTCTGACCTTACAGGAAAATGATGTGAGGTCAGATTCAGAAGAAGTAAACGCTAAAGTCGGACATTCAGGGATAGAAGCTTGTGTTGTGTCTGCGGACGTCCAGCAAAAATCCTGGATTAATGTCCTGATGTGACCTCTTATGTATTTATTTTTCATACATCCACAGACGAGCAGATAAAAGACCGACAGTAGAGTTTAAAATAAATGGAATTGCAAAGAATTTTCCTTTTTTTTTCTTTTTCTTTTTGTAATTGAATAGATGAAACCGTTAAATTAAAGTTTGATGTCATACATACAGTCATGGAAACTGATCAGACCAACAGTTTCCTTTTCATTCTAACGCCTGGAACCACTAAAGGTCCATTTGTTTGGACAAATATAACAACAAAACCAGCTGATCAGAGTTTAACTTCAGAGCTGGTATCAGACATGCTCCAGGGTTTCTTGGTTCTAAGTTCTTCCACCAGCAGCTATGGCATTGTGCTGCCAGAACCAGAGCTGTTAGATGTTCCACACATGATGCACAGGAGTTAGTACCTGATGGCAGAACCATAGTTTCTGATGACTGCAGCCATGCGTCTCGGCTGCTCTCCACCAGGTTCTGACATGGTTCTGCTGCCACAGCAGCCCGTTCCTGCTGCTCACATTCACACTAACGTGCTTTGTTTGTGGGCTTGTGCTTCTCCATTCAGCCTTTGATGGTTTCCACAGGTTTTCAGCTGGATGTAGATCTGGTGACTGAGCGGGCCAAGGCATGGTTCCAGAGTTCTGGTTCTCCATCCAGGCTTTAGCTGACCTCGCCGTGTGCCAAGGGGCATCGTCTGGTTGGAAAACCCAGTCACTGGAGGCAGGAAAGAGTTTTCCAGCTGATGGCAGAAGACTGTTTTCCAGAGCAGCCTGTACATGACTTGGTCCATTGGCCCTGTTCCACCCAAACTGGAACCAGCCCAGATGGTCCCTGATCCACCCCCAGTTCTACTGTAGGGGCAGGACAGTCTGGTCTGGAGGCTTCTCCAGGCTTCCTCCTCACCAGGAAGTTGGCTGGAGTGGACATCAACTGAACATTGGGTTCATCCCTAAAGAGAACCTGAGCCCAACCATCACCAGTCCAATCCCTGTGATCCCAGCAGAGAGGAATCGGGCCTTCCTCTGCATTTTTACTTAGTACCCACACTATTGACTCTAGATGTGGAATAACCGTGAATCTAAAAAAGGTTTAGAAAGTTTGCACTTTTTTTTGACATATAATAAATATTTCATTGCTTATCGTGGATGAAATTTTAGACACAACTCGATACGATTAGTGAAGAATAAAAGAAAAAGAAGGAATTTCAACAAGTATTACAGGTTCTGTGATTTTTATACATTTTCTTTCATTGTTTAAATATTTTAAAAAATATCAATAATTTACTAAAACAGACTGAATTGACATGTTTAATATTAAATAATATAAACCTGTAACTGTGACGATGAAACATTTGTTTGGAAAATAGAAAGAAAATGTTTTTTTTTGTTTTTATTTTTTCTCCCTAAAAAGACGTTTCATAAAGATCTTGTAACTTAACAGACAACGTTGTCAATTCAACGTAAACGCTGGAAATCTGTTTTAAAAACTAGATGTAGTGACGGAGGACGGTTGACTCGGCGAGCCACCGTAATCAGAACATCACCGATAAAACGCTCACGTTGGGTCAGAACAGCTGATTTAATGACGTAAAGTTTGATTGTGTGTCTCCTGTGTGTTCTGGGTTCAGGTACCGGTCGGAACGGCTACGCCAAGGCGGTGGACGGAGAGGATGGAGGGGGGGAGGAGAGAGACGCAGACTGGGACGAGCACCTGGACGGCGAGAACGAGGGCGGAGTCAGGATGACGAGGACCGACACGCTTCATTCGACCACGAGTTCAACCGGAACACAGAGGAAGAGAGGACAACACGCTAAGAAACAGGTGAGGTGACACGCTAAGAAACAGGTGTAATAAAAACATGCTAAAAAACACGTAGGACCACACGCTAAGAAACAGGTGACGGAATGCACTGAGACACAGATGAGACAAGTTAAGTAACAAGTGAGACAACACGCTAAGAAACAGGTGAGCCAACATGCTAGCAAACAGATGAGACAACATGCTAACAAACAGGTGTAAAAACACACTGAGAAACAGGTGAGACGACCGACCAGAAACATGTGAAACAGCTTGTTAAAGGAGGCTAACAATATGCTAACTTTGAGTTGGGTCGGGTGATCTGTTTACGCTGCATTTAGCAAACTAGCCAGTTAGCCAGATATGCTAATGTTAGCAGCTCCACTTTTGTAAAGAGAACATAAACAATGATACCGATGATGTCACTTCCTCCTCAGGTGCAGGGCAGCAACCAGGTGCAGCGAGCCCCTCGAGCGTTATACTGCCTGAAACTGAACAACCCGATCAGACGGGCGGCGCTGTCCATCGTCGAGTGGAAGTATCCTTTATGCTGACAAACACACCTGCATAGCGTCGTTATTGATGTTCTGTTTTAGTCCCTGTTGATGTTCCTGAACGACAACCTTCAGACCATTTGATATCTTCATCCTGTTAGCCATCTTTGCTAACTGTGTTGCTCTGGGAGTTTCCAAACCTTTTCCTGAGGACGACTCCAACTCCACCAACCACGACCTGGTGAGATCAGCTACACACAGCCTTAAACACAAATACACAAAATTGCTGAGTGGATTAAGAACAGGGCACTGTGAGAACTGGAAACTGCTAAACCTCGACTGCTAACTCTGTGCCCAGTCTTTATGCTAAGCTACACCTGGTGATAATACACTGATCTAAAACATCTGAGTCTGGATACAAAAGCAGACAGTAAAAGATTTCCCCTTGAAGCTAAACTAAAGCTAGCTAAAGCAAGAAGTTCACAACAAATTAGGAATACCTAATTCTAAGTCAGCTATTCCTAGCAGCTGAAGCTAAAAGCTAACTGAAGGATGAAATTACAGCTAAATTAAGTGAACCAGCCTGTACACTAACTGGTGCTTTCTCAGTGTTAGCTGTGCCTTAAGTGTACCTGAAGTTAAATACCAACTTACCGACAGATAACTGGACATGAAGATAAGATGTCTAATCCTGTAGCGAAAATGAAGCAATTTGAAACAAGAAGCTAATGCTAAGATTAATGAACATGCAGCAAACTCTTACCTGACTGGCCCTAACCAAAATAGCTTTTAGCTAACTAACAGCTAGCTGGACCTGAAGATTAGCTAATAGGTAGCTAATTTTGAAGCTAACTTTAAGCTAAATGATGCCAAAGGTTAACACTGAAATAAAAATATCTGACGCTAATTGTAAGCTAACTAAACCAAGAAGCAACTGCTAAGCTAGCATGAGTTAAGTTAACTTACAGCTAACTGAACCTTCAGATAGCCATCAAACATCCAACCCTGAAACTTAAACCAAGCTAACTGAAGCAAGAAGTTAACGCTAAATTAACAGTGCCAGGAAACTACGCTAAGCTAACTGAACCTGCGTACCTGTCAGAGGAGATATCATGATCAAGAAGATGGTTCACCCAGGACGAGTCCCAGCTGATCCCTGTGAATTTCCCAACTGTGGGAACAAGCTAGCGCTAAGCTATGCATAAAACTAATTCTAGTGGTCTTTTACCTAAGCTAACTTACAGCTAACTGTACCTAAAGATAACCCAAGGTAGCTAATGCTGAAGCTAAAACTAAGCTACTGAAGCAAAAAAAAAAGACACTTGTATACACTTCATAGCTGAAAACATCAACAAACGTTTACAGAATCAGAGTCATAAAAACTTTATTGATCCCTGAAGGGAAACTGCTTACAGCTGCTTCACAGCCTGTTAAGTTAATATAAGTTAGTATTTTACATGTTGTACGCAGGATTTATGTTGCACGTGATAGTCAGGTGTTGGGTGGAGGATCTTTGTGATTTCATGAAGTGAAGAAGGAGCTTTATTCTGGAGAGTTGTCCTCCACAATAAAGCTCCACAGTGGAGACCGCTGCTGCTGCGGAGGTCAAAGGTCGATCCTGCATAAACGCTGGCGAAGCAGATGATTGGCAGCTCAGTGATCAGATCTGAGGACTTTGTGCTCGGCTGATTCAGCTCTCCCTCGACCTGCATTTACAGTCGGACTGGACTCGCTGTTTGTGCAGTCACTTTGTGTTGCAGTGATGCCGCCGCCTCAGCCGTCACCGCTAACGCTGCGCGACAAACACAAAACACAGTAACTGCAAGTTCAGTGCAGACCGAGGCAGAGCAGCTCACACTGCTGGTTCACTGGAATGATCGTGTTTTCATACGACGACGAACCAGCAAAGAGGCAGAAGCACTTTATTCCTCCAGCACGCTGCCTTCATCGCAGAAAATCACAGAAATCACATCAAACAGAGCTTCCACATGTCCCATTACAACAATAAAGGCTCAGTCAGTGTCTGCCAGATAGAACACAGAACCACTTTATAACACACGACACATCTTAACCCCAAATTTGTTTACACAAAAATCTGAAACAAACAAAATCATACAGAAATGAATAAACAAAT